AGATTAGAATGATGTAATAGAATAATGTTTTATTTCAATATATAGAATATTTTATTTAAAATGTAGGAATAATAATTGAAGTTGAACTAGTGATACAAAATGATGCTGTATGTATGGATTCTATATCCAGAATATCTTGTTTAAAATTAAGGACTAATAATTACAGTTGAAAAATTGGCATTTAATAATAATGTACTTATGTTTATCTAATGAACAATTTGTGATTCGATATGTAATTGTAAGTGGTGACCATGGGAAGGACGCACAAAATCTTGTAACCAAACGACACGCCAGATGAAATGGAAGGAGGTTGTGTGTGTTTTATGTTTCTTTGTTCGTTTTTGTTTTAAAAAATATATTTTTAAAAAAGAGGGGCGGGGGAGCCCAGGAGCCAAAGGGGGCCTGGGGGGTGCTGAGCAGCTGCAGAGGCTGGCAGACAGAAGGATCGCTGCTTTAATCACGCTGCTGCCCGCCATGAGGTGCCATCTCAGCCAGGGCCATCCCTTCCAGGCCGGGGGAGGCTGGCATGACTGTATCCGAGGGGGGGGGGGAAGGAGGGAGGGTGTCACTGGCTGTAATTTCCCTGCTCAGCCATGAAAACGGATTATATCGTCTCTCCTCTCCGCTTCCCTTCACACCCAGGAGAGCGTTCTGTGGTGCTGCCCCTCCCTCCTCCATCACTCAATAACACAAGCGGCCCTTGGCACTGCTGGCTGCAATGCCGGCCCAAGAGAGGAGGCTGCGATGGGCAGCTGCAGCCTCAGAAAGATCGGGGGGGCAGGAGGAGGAAGACCCTGGCCCCAGAAGGCTGGTATTTCAGAGAGCAAAAGCCCCCCCCCCCCAGGCTATTCGACCATGCTACTCCTTCAGTGGCCCACCAGCAGGAGAAGCCAACCCCTGTGGGGGCAGAGCTTGTCTAAGCTGGCACCATCGGCATAAAACCTTGCCCCCCCCCCATGCTAGAAAAAAAGCTCCAAAGCTTCCCCTCCCCCATTCCTTGTCCACACAAACAGCCCCAAAGGTGCAATCCAAGCATCTCCTGCATCTGCCAAAGCAGCCCCCGCTCCCCCCCCCGCCCCTACCTTGCTTTCCAGCAATTCGCTGCTCTCCCGAAGCTCCTGGCGAGAAACGTCCGAGTTCTCCAACTTTTTCTGCAGCGTTGCAAGTTCCTCCTGGGGGGGAGGAAGTTCGGGCTTATTCACCATCTGCAACTTGACCACTCAGCATGGAGTGGCTGCCTCCAGGAGGGGGTCAATTGCCCATTCCCCCCCCCCCCCGATGAAAGGGAAGGCTGCGGGTCTGGGGGTGGGGGGCGGGGGAACTCTCTAGAATCTCTCTTTCAGAGAACCGATTCAGCTCAGCTCCCTGCTGAATGTAAGGAAAAATCAGGGGTTGAGCCTGCGGCCCTTTTCCTCCTGGCAACTCAGGTACCTCCTTGACGCGGAGCTGCCCTTCGGCCAGGCTGATGGTCAGGAGGGGCCGGACGCCACACATCAGCTGCCACCACGGCCAGCTCTTCACAGCCCGGTAGACGGCCAGGTTCTTCTGGATGCACCGGGCAGCCAGGCTCTGGATCTGAAGCGGGAGGGGAGGGAGACCTCAGGCCAAGGATTAAGGAAGACCCCCCCCCCTCCCAGTGGGAGCCTTGAGCACTGGGATCTGGCTAGGCGTCTCCCGGCGCTGCAGGCCAGAGAGAGAGGGGGTGGGAGCCCCCCAGCTTCCCTTGGCGCTCACTAGGGGAGTCTGCTGAAGGCTACCAGCCTCTGGGGGCCTCTTCCCCAAAGGAGGCAGCCCAACCTCCCCAGGGCTGCCCCCCCCCCCACTGCAGAGCAGGGCTACCTTTAACTTCCTGAAGTGCTGGCGGGAGAGGAAGCCCCTGCAGGCTGCCTGGAGCAGGACCAGGCCCTGGGACACCAGTTTCTCTCGCTGCTTCTCCAGCCGCGGAAGGACGCCGGCCTTCAGGAAGACCTGCCCAGAGGGACGGAGGGTGAAGCCGCTGCCCGTTCCCCACCAGGCAGGCTAGAAGAACCAGGGCGGCGGCTTCCGGTACCTGCGTGTGGCCCAGCGCAACGCTCTTCTTCTCCAGATCGAGGGCCCGGAAGAGCTCCTCCAGCGCCTGCAGAGAGACGGAGCGCCTGCAGCAGCTGCCAAAATCTCTGGCTGCCCCACATCACGAGCCCCACAACAGCCGGGCTGCCCCATCCCGACTGCTCTGCCCAACTGGCACCGATCTCTTCAACTGCTGCCTTCAGCCAACGTTTCCGCTGGAATTGCCCAGGGGGAGATTCGGATGTCCTCCCCCCTCCCTTTTAAGGCTCAGAAGAGCCGGCATTTCTTTGCCCGCAACAGGGGAGGAATTCGCCCGGCAGAGCTTCATGTGGGGCAGCCGTGGCTGCAGAGCCGCTGGGCATCTCGCTGGGGTCCCTTTGTGGGGAGTCTTGGACCCGAACCTGGGAAGCTCCCTGGCCTCCCTGCCCAGCCCCCGCATTCCTTGTGCCACTCAGGTCCTCGAGAGCCCCCCGGGCGGAGGAGAGGGCTGGAGTGCTTGTCGAACGAGTCTCCCCGCAGCGCAACCTGTCAAGCGCGGCCTTTCTCCCCCGCCAAGCGCCTCTTGTCAAATCCTCACACGCTGGGAGGAGCCCCAGGGCGGCAGCTGCTTTCCCAGCACAACGGTGCACCCCTCCTCCCTGGGCGCTGGGTTGATGGCCCCCCAGGAGGACACGGGTGACGGTCGCCTTTCCTGTCTTATCGGCTGAAGCTGCAGCGGCCATCTAGGCTCATCCCTCCCTCCCTCCCTCCCTCCATCTGACCTTCTTCTCATCCGTCATCTCGTAGGCGGAGGTGAACTTCTTCATCTCTGGCTGAGCCAAGCCCTGGAAGCGCCGCCGGAACTGGACCAGCTCCATGCGATCCGCATAGCCTGCCGGAGCATAAACGAAGGCAAGGCGCTTGGTACGCAAGAACTGGCATCCCAGACCACCGAGACCCTGGTGCCCCCTCCCACAACAGCCTGCAGGAGCAAGTCCCCTCCTGTCACGACCAACTCCGAATGGCTGCGTCCCGGCCAGAGCCAGGAGTCCCTCTGCTCCCCCAACTGGGAATTAAACGGGGGCATCGGGGGGGGTGGGGAGAAGAGGGAGAGCGCCAGGGGGCTTTGCAGCACCCGAGATCTTGTCCAAGAGGGGAGGAGCTCCTCAGCCGGCATCCCCCTCACGTGCCCCACGACCTTGCAGGATCCTCCTGCTGGGTTCCACTGGCATTACGGCCGCTGTGGAGGTTCAGGCTGCTTATTGCGTTTCATCGTGTTTGCACTTACGACCTGAGCTGCCCTGGGAACCATGTGCAGAAACTCTCTGGCTCAATTCCCCCCCCAAACAAACAGGCAGGGAGGAGGCGCATTTTGTCATCGCAAACACTAACGGGCTCCTCACAAAGCAAAGAGATTTGGGGCAGCGCGAACCAGCCAGTCGTGTGGAGGGGGGGGGAAACCTAGCGCCCCCCCCCTGAGTTCTCTGTACACTACAATGCCCAGAATTCCCAGCCGGAAGTTGGTCCCAGCTTCCTCTAGCTTTCCTTGCGTGCTCAGAATCGCAGCCAGCTTCCAGCCAAGCTTCCCCACTTCCTGTGTCCCTCGGTCGCCCGTTGTGTAACCTGCACCGCAACTGCGCTACCCAGGAAGGGTGGGCGACATTCCCTGCACCCTCGGCAGGGAGACCCAGGAACCCTCCCTTCGCACCAATTCTGTGCAGCCGCAAGGCCTCCAGGATCAGGCTGCCGGAGAGCTGGGCGCGCAGGGCCGGAACGTCCCACGCCGGTCCTGGGGCGGCTTCCGTGGTCCCCGTGGTGGGCGGCTGAGGCTCCGGCGGAGTCCCCGGGTCCAGGCAATGGAGAAAGTGGATCCGAGACCGCTTGAGCAGATTGCTGAGAGCATCCTGGGGGGACGGGGGGGGAGGGAGGCTGGTTTCGGAGGGGTCCCTCAGCAATCCCCTTCCTTCCCCCTTGAGAGGAGGGGGCCGAGGGCAGCAGCAGAGGCAGCAGTCAGGCTCTGCACAAGCTTCCTTTCCTGGTGGCTCCACCCGGGACAACACACACACACACACACACACACACACACACACACGGCCTCTGGGAAAGGAGGCGCCTGCCTTTCCAAAGCCGGCTTCCTCCCTCCCTCCCTGGTCCCATTCACAGGGGATTCCTGTTGGAAGCCAAGGTGGATGACTCTGCCTCGACTTGCTCCTCCCTGTCGGACTGGCAGGAGCTGCCTTTGCACGCTGACCAACCAGGAGGCAACTGGATCCTCGGGGGGAAGCCCACTGACAGCGGAGGGGATCCCAGCCCCTCCTCCCCCATAGCCCCTCCCCCCCCATAGCCCCTGCCAGGAAGCGGCCCCTGAGCCCGGCCCAAGCGCTTCACTCACCAGCTGCAGCTTGATCTGGGCGCAGACCGACCTCTTCTTCACGGCGGCCCAGCTGCCACTGAAGGTCTTCCGGAGGCAGCCAATGCGCTGCAGGGCCTGGTGCGAGTGGCCCTCCCAGCCCGCCACTGAGCGGCAGAGGAGGGGCACGTGGGCGCGTGGCAGGAAGACTTTCCTCAGAGCCCCTCTGTGGGGAAGGAAGGGAGGAAGGAAGGAAGGAAGGAAGGAAGGAAGGAAGGAAGGAAGGAAGGAAGGAAGGA